GTCGGCGGAGAGACAAGAGCAGTCAATGAAGAGAGAGATAGAGAAAATAAAAGAAGAGATGAAATTAAGGGAGGAGGGATGGAGGAAAGAGAAAAAGGAAATAAAAGAAAGAATTGAAGGAATGGAGAGAAAGTTGGAGAGAGTGAGGGTAGAGAGACTAATTGTAAGAGGAGCGGGGAAAAATGAAAAGGAGGGAAAGGTGGGAGGGATAGAGGGAGGGGAATTATGGGGAGAAAGAGTGAAGTTACTAGAGAGGAGATGGGAGAGGAAGGAAAGGAAAGAAAGGAAGAGGAATATCTTGGTGAAGGCAAGAGAAGAAGGGGAGAAGAAAGAGATAGAAAAAATAATAAAGGATTTGGAAGTGAAAGTGAAGATAGAGAGCTGTAGAGTAGTGGAGGCAGGAAGGAGAGAAAAGGTATGTGTATTGTGAGATTAGATAGGGAGGAAGGGAAAAAAAAATAATGCAAAAGAAAGGATTATTAAAAGGAACTAATATATGGATAGAGGAGGACCTGACGTGGGAGAAAAGGAGAATTAAGTGGGAAGTGAGACAGGTGGCAAAGAAAGCGGAGCGGGAGGGAAAAAGGGTTAAAGTGCGTCAAGGGGGGGTGTGGATAGAGGGAGTGTGGTGGGGATGGAATGAAGAGAGAAATGAGCTGAGGGATGGAAGAGGGAGAAGTTGGATGGATATAGAAAGGGAGACAGGGGGAGGAAAGGGAACGGTGAACGAAAGGAGGAGGGGAGGGTTCATAAGTCAGAGGGAAGGAGGGACGGGGGAAGAGAGGGAAAGAGAGAAAAGAGATGGGAGGGAAGGGGAGGAGTAGAGAGAGAGGGAATTGGTAGGGAGAGAACAGGAGAGGGGGACAGGGAGGGAGGAGAAGGGGAGGAGAGGAGAGAAGTGAGAAGAGGGAGAGGAGACATGAGGGGCATGGTGCATGAGGGGGGAAAGGGCTGAAAATTGCATTTTGGAATGTGGCGGGTCTAACGAATAAGGACAAGGAGTTTTG